TACTGTCAGATGAATTACCCCAGAAATTATTCCATACTTCATTAAAGAATGAAAATAAGCAAAATAGATTGATTTGAGAGTGTCAGTGTTACTAATATGTAACATGAATCTAATTTCATAACATGCTCTACTTAGCTTTGGAATGAACTACCGTATTTACGCATGTATAGACCGTGTGCGTGTATAGGCCGCAGCACAATTTTCAGACAAATTATAGAAAAAATATTTTTCTTGGAATATTATTTCAGGAGTAGAAATTATTCCGAAATTTGGCAACGTTTAAATGAAGTGTGATTTCGAATATAAGCCACACCCCAGTTTTCCCCTTGAATTTTTTGGCAAAAAATGTGCAGCCTATACATGCGTAAATACGGTAATAGATATGGTTTTTCCAGCTTAAATGATTATAAATTTGCAAGCCAAGGAATTTTGTGGTTACTCCCTCTTCTATGTATTTATCATTATATCCTATGTTTAATGGATATTGTGAGTTTTTTTGTTATAAATTTTGTTTGCAGAAAACCACTTACTAATTTGTGAAAGACCCTTGCTTGATAACATGCAGATATCATCTAAATTTTTACCAGAGATTATAACACTAGTGTCATCTGCAAATATTATAGGTATTGATGAGGACCTTAGTGTAGGAGGGAGGTCGATTATATAAATTATGAAAAGCAAAAGCCCCAACATTGACCCCTGTGGGGCAGGTTTTCTCCGAGTACTTCGGTTTCCCCTGCCAATCTTCATTCCACCAATTGCACCACAATCACCCTCACCTATCATCTGGTGCTGGTACGAGTACAATAGGCAAAAAGTGGTTGCAGTACAAGGGACTTAGCCCCACCCCACTAGCAATAAAAAAAAGTATAACAGTAATTTCAGAGATAATGAGAATAACATCTTTCCATTATGCCATGGGATTCTGTTGTATTCTTAATATTTCAGTTTTTATTTTCCCTTGTGAGGGCCATATGGTAAAGCTTTCTGCATCGTGTGGACTGTTTGACAGGTCTGCAATATTCCAAATTTGGATACATGGTTGACTGTTGTTTCCTCTTGCTGATGTTATTCGAGTTCCAAGAAAGGAGACTAAGCAAGAACATTGGCAAGCTGCATGTGTTTGTATCTTTGTTTTCTGATTCAACCACAGACATCAATATTATAGGCTAGCATGAAGCAATTGTTGTGGTTATAAACATCATACTTGGTGATGCTGTACTTATTTAACAGCTCTCCACCTTTATACTGTATAACCATTGAGAGACACTTTGAAATTGCACTTTCATTGAACACTCATGGTATGAACTTGAAAGTTTTGTAAGATGGCTGCATTTACACTAAGATACTAAACTTGATAGAATAACAATTTGTACTAAGTTGTGCTGCTGTCTAGGGGTATGCTATGAACTTTTCTGGCAAAGGTGGACACTGCAATGCCTGCTCAAGCATAGCTTCCACTGCCAATTTCTGCTATCATCATCTATTCTTGTTCCAGTATTACTCATGTTAAAATCTGTGGGGCTCTTTACTGGAAAGTAACTAAGGACACATTCGCCTTTATGATCTGTGCTTTATAATTCTTGAAACACAGTCATACAGAATCAATAACCTAATATTTAGAAATGACTAGCAGAATAAGGATGTGGGAAGCAGTTTTTTAAGTTCCAAATTTTTCTTTAGTGTACATGTAATTTGATTCCTGATTCCTGGATTCTAGTTTTAGTAAACTTCACTATTGAAAGATCACTTTTAATTACATTTTATTTTATTTACATTTTATTAGTTACATGTTAGGAGTATGAATCCTGACTGTGTATACTATCCATCTCATCTTGTCATTGTACTGGGTCACAGTTATTGCAGAAAGTATCATTGCTGGGTAACCAAGTAATTGTTAAGAAGAACTCTATTCCTTATGGATTTGCTCATCTGAAAAGCATTATGTTATTGTAAGATGAGCAGATGTCTCTGTAAGGACTGTATAGATGAATATACATGTATAACATGTTTTTAATGCATTCGTCATTAATCTATAATTTACAAACAGAAATTAGGTGATATTTGCAACTTCTCTGGCTTTCTTTAAAAATTCATTGGCTGTGTTAGTGATGGTTGGGTGTGAGCAGCCTGGATATTTTCACGCAGGATGGAACAATACGCATAATGGAAAGCTTCATACTTTATACTCTTCATGAAATATTATATCAAATATTATCAAATCAAAGAGAATGAGATAGAGAGAGTATGTAGCATAAATGACTTTTAATAGTATTTTAGCTTATTGAACTGAAAGCAGCATTAATCATGTTAATTCTTATAGCGTGAAATAACAAAGAGGTAAAAATCCATGTCTTTAACAAGCTGTAGTCTCACTTATAGATCTTGTAGTTGAATGCCAGTTTCTTACCACAGAGGATATGGTTTAATCCCATAGAAGTTTTTATATGTAACTTATGGGTTTTGTCTGAGTATGTTGGCTTCTCCTGGTCCAGTCATCCTTCTACTCAGGCTTCTTAGTAATCATGAATTGTGTGATAGCCCTAACTAGCCAGCTCATATCTTGGCTGGAATCAGAAGGTGAAGGTGTGGTTAATGTGTTTTGTGAGAACAACCTTAACAAACAGATTTAAGTTGCTGTAATAGGAGGATCGGTTCTTGTTTGTTTAATTTTGGTTGTGTGATGGAGTGAGTGTATTTGATACAGTTAATGAATGTGTGATATTATGAATTTTGGATTCCCAGACTGTGGGTGAGAACATCAAATTGCACATTTGTTATTTATAAATTATTTATTAATGTGTTATGAATGTCAATCAAGGGACACAATTTAAATCAATTCTGCCTTTTTTATACCCTTCTTAATTAATTGCATCCATGAACGTGGGTTTGGATTGCTTTCTGAGTAGTAAAGTTCAGCCAGTATTGTTGTTTTTTAAACCTATTGTCTGGTTATGAATTTTTCATCAGAATGGTTGTTTATTTTGATCAGTTTAGACTGATACAGAATAAATAATAGGAGCCACAGAATCATGTCAGGCAATCCAGCAAGTTCTTATGAAAAGAAAAATGAATGCTAACATTTCATACCAGTTCCCTCCAAAAATTACTTCAACCCAAGAAATTTCTTTACAGAAGAATTACATGCATAGCATTGCATGTGTTATATGAATTAGCACATAGAACAACCATTGGAAATAATGTTAAGTATTGGCTACTCATGTACTGTGCCTTTGGTTTAAATTTTCAATGCCTTTGCAATTGGTTGAAAACTTCACATCGTATACGATGGAGATCTTCCTTGTATATATATATAAATAGCATTCATAAAAGATTGAAAATTTATTCTGCATTAGAAAAACAGAATTGTAAAACACCAAAAAATATGCTTGGTTATTTTTCTATAATAATAATATGAGCTATGTAAAAGAAATACTTGTACTTTATGAGTTATCATAAGAACATAATGTGATGTCTGTGATGGAAACATGTAACATGTAAGTACCCAGCTAAAAGATAATTATTGCAATCGAAATTACTAATTGAAATATGTTTCCTACGTATTAAAAGTATGTATTTGTGCATTATAAAGCATAATGAAATAAATTATGAATATCATTATTCCATAGATTAAGTTTTTCAGTGGTATGAAATAGGTTTTTATATATTCCTCCAATGTCTAAAGGTCATTCTTGAAATGGATATTCTTCCAAATTAATTTCATGCACATGCCACAGTGTGACATCTGTTCTCACGGTTCAGTATATCATCATAGACATGACTTATTAGGTCAGATATTATGGTATGAAAGAGAAATCTATGTAGATGTAACTATCTGTATCCGATCATGTGTTTTCTTTTTTCATTAGAGTGTCAGTACTCACAGACTCACCATTATAATGCCATCTTTGGCATATATTTCTCATTACTCTATTGTAAGCAAGAACTTGAAGGTTTTTGCTTCAGATGACAGTATTCTGTCATATGCCTTGGTTATTTAGTGTTTAACAGTAGAATGATTTCGATTTCTGATCTAGAGAAAAAGAAGTTGGTTTGGCCTATTTTAAGATATAATTCCACATTTTGCTTGGAGGGATGGAGGGAAACTATGGGAACCTCCTAGAAGATGGCTAGTCTGTGTGCCAAGATCCAAACCTGGGACCTTCTGGATATAGGGCAGGAGACCCAACCCAACACTAGTGTTTAGAAGAACCACAAATACTAGGTCTAAAATAGGTCAGCACTATACAAAATTTTCTACTATCTCAGGATCACCCAGCCAATAAAAAAATTAAAAACTAGAAACATTCAACACACAACATGCTGATTGAATTTCCATATCAATATAATATATTCATATGAATATTAGGAAATAAATCCAAAATATCTAATTGCTAAATTTTATATTCTTCTCCATATGATCTTAGAACAGAAATGCAAGATATTTTAGTGCAAGGACATTTTCTCTTTAATTTACAGATTTGTCTGTTGCATAGAGATTTCAGTATATAGTTCATATTGATTAAAATTGCAAATAAAACTAAATTTTGCTTTCAAATGTTAGTATTCATTTCCTACATAGGTTAAAATGCAATGCATATCACAAATGACTGAGAATTGTGGTGGGAGAAGTGAGAGATCAGAAGTAGTGATGTAGTTCCTTTCAATAGAAATCCACACATTAGTTAATACTGTCAAAAACTAACTAATTATAAAGAAACTAAGGCTGTAACTGAATTGAACGTCATCCTTTCCAGTTAATATGCCCTGATAGATATGTATAGTATGTATGTTGTGTAAATATGGTTACAATATTTATCAAAGAATAAATAAATAAGTTTCCTTTTGGACTTAATGGGTGAGCATATAAGTGGGTCTCCAGACTTTATTGTTTAGTTGTGAAAGTTTTCAGGTGACAGTATTTTCAAATTTATAATATTATTTTATATTTAACATTAATGATACTCTACTTACTTCTATATCATTCTGTTTGCTTTCAGTAAATTGCTCAATCTTCGGACGCAAGAAGAAACAATACAAAGATAAATATCTGGCAAAACACAATGCAGTTTTTGACCAGTTAGATTTAGTTACGTATGAAGAAGTTGTCAAACTGCCATGTAAGTTTACTCTGTGACGTTTTACTTTTGTTTATATGAAATGTCTGTCAAGTTAGGCCAATTTTCAGATATCATTAATAGTAGTCAGATCAGGAAACTGAAAATCTACAAACAAAATTTTAATTGATTTGTGAAAACAAGTTTTTTTATTGTTATTCTTGCTGTCGTGGTTATGGCATCATGCATGATGGGGAAATCTTAACTCTCAAAAGTGGCTTTTGTTTACTGTAGCAAAGTTTCATAGTTTTTAGAAACAAAAAAAAAACAGGTTCTTTATCCATATGATAGTTTTACACAAAGAAGATATTTGAAAATGTGATGATGGACTGAGAGGGGGAAGAATCTTACAACACCTCTTACACTTCACCATTTTCCTGTTTTATTTTCAGTGAAATAATTGACTTAAATGTTCAATGTTCTGTCTGTCTCTGTGTATCCATGACTTGACTTGATAAGCAAGAGAACTTCTCTTACCATGCTTATTATTTGTTTATTTATTTATTTATTTATTTATTTATTTATTTGAGTCTGTATAGTTTGTATGTTCACAAAGAATGTTGCAAAAATACACCAGTTTGCTTTGCCCTGTCTGTCCATCCATCTGTCCTGATGAAACAACTTAAGAACTGCCAAATGGATTTTCATGAAATTTGATATTATACAGTTTTGTTAAAATTTGTTGACACAATATAATTTTGGTTAAAATCAGACAACAGTAACGAACACTTTACATGAACACCTACACCTAATTTTGTGCCCATCTTTAACATCACGTGCTAAATATTTATGAAAGTGAAGAATGTTTCGAACAACAGCTGCAGAGAAAAATGTAACACACTAAGAAATGTTAAACTGATTTTATTTTATTTTATATTGGAAGTCCATTAATTTCACGAAGATCAGCACAATATAATTTGTACTTTACATAAGAATCTTTGTACAGGTATGTAGGCCATACAGTCAGTGACTAGAAATCTGATGTCACTAAAATATTCACCTGACTTCGAAAAATATGTCATGTTATTTCATTTCATGTAAAGGTAAGAACTGAGTGAACACACAGGCAGTGGTACACTATGAGTACATTTCCTAACTTCTTCAGTATTATTGTTTACTCAGTATACACAATAGTTCAGTTTCATTTTCTTGCACTTAGTGTAGGGCAATAAGAAGGTGTTTTGAACTACATTGAAATCTGTTAGGTTGTAAATAATTAAAGAAAATGACCAAAATGTTTAATAAGTTAAACATACTTATTAAATTACTGCTAGGTAGGAAGATAAATTTTAGAGTGGTGAATGTTCATGGTTGTTGGTGGTGCGAATATAGGGAATGATTAACTCAGATGAAACTGTGGGTTGACACAAAATAATATGAAATAGATGATATACACTAATATGAACAGTAATGAAGCCACACACAAACCCAATAGCAACCCCTAAGTAGGGCTGTTCAGAGTTCAGTGTTGTGCATTTCCTTTTCCTTTTATTCACATTGCAACAGTTTTATAATTCAAACAGATTGACCTTAAATGCATCTGTCATAACAATTTTAGCAGTATCTCTTTTTGAAACATAAAATTTTCAAGTTCAGAACTGTCGGTATGACTGATAAATTAATGTACATGATTTCTTAAATCAGGGATTTAAAGCTTTTCCATCAGAAATAAACAGAACAAATCAAGATCTGCATACGTTATGTCCATTACAGATGGATATATTTGTTCCTCCATATTTACATGTTGGGAATACTGACAGACTGATGTGGCTGGGAATCGAAATTTGAATGACAGCTTAATACAGGTTAAGTTATAAAATTGTATGAGAATCAGAAAATGGTTTCAAAATTAGTAGAGGCTCTAGTAGAAATTTCATCTTGTCCATTGATAATGCTAATGGATCAATATGGCTTAAATAAGACCTACATGATTGATTTTAGTGGATATCTCCTATACCAAAATTTGTCGAAACAAAATGCACTGAAGTTGTCATGTAGACAAATAGTCACATAGGAGACAAGGAGGTTGATGATACACATCTCTTGCAAGTGCAGATAAAAATTAAAAAATTGTCTTCTCTTTTTTAATTTGAGCATTTAGAATGAATGATGGTTGCATCATAAACAGAATGTCGGATCATTCTACAATACAGTCATGCATGTCAATTTCCATATGAATGAAATAATTTTGCTTCTTTTTTTTTCTTATTTTTTAATTTTATCTTTTCTTAACACAAAGGGATATGACAAAATTAAATGTTCCCTGCAGAGCAAATGCTATACACAAAGGGTATTTAAGTCAACATCCCTGATAGCTTTGGTTCACAGTGAATTTAAATAGAATGGCAAACAATTAATTACAACCATCACAGTTTCAAACCGCATTAGTTCAAAATATTGCTGCTTTTTTGCACGAACTATATTTGTAAAACTCTGAGTATTTTGCAAAGCATTCAATTACTGAAACTTCAGGGGTGGTGCACCCATGTTTATGTTTCTTCATCCTATTCACATATGAAAGTATCACCTGACAACTGGAGTGTTCTGTCTGTGACATTTTATTTTCATCTCTTTTTAGCCTGCAGCAGGATGTGCATGGGGCTGTGGGTTGCTGTTACTCAGAAATGTTGAGATTTTTGTATTTATGTGTGCCTGAAAGCTCATATACATATTCTTTGCTCTATCTTATCATCTTAATACCAGTCTGACTCCAAGGTGTAAATAAAAACATTTGAAATTCCCCCCTACCCTATCCTTGTTTATGAACACTCAAAGTTTCAGGTGAAAAAAAGACTGACTGTGTTTATGTAATCAATAGTGTCTGATCCAGCATTCCAGAGGAAGACCCTAGTGCTTCTAGGAGCACATGGAGTTGGCAGAAGACACATAAAAAACACACTTATAGCAAAAAATCCTGACAAGTATGCATACCCCATCCCACGTAAGTACATTTAGATAATTAAGAATCAGCAGTATTTCAGTAGCATTAGTCTATCTATATCTTGTTCACGGGGAACTCTGAGAATTCTGTACTGTAGCATCCTCTTGCATTTCATTCTGTTGCTTACATCTACCATCTATATTCAGCACACCAGTTCTGTTGTTCAGTTATGCAGCTATTTATTAATTAGACTCAAAGACTCTGTTATACTCTGAACATTGAATTATTTAGTCCATAATGTGGCATTTTTAAGCCACTATGTGATCATCCTCAGGTGGTTACTTGTGTAGAATGTTCTGTCCCCTTGAGTGGGATACACTATTATTTGCACTGTTCTTGATAAAAAGGCAGTGTTACTTTAAAATTAGCATTAACATTGCATTCAGAATTTATCTTGCAATTGTAACTAAAATTAGAGCCAAAGTTGTCGTTAAAATTGATGTTCAGTTCAGCAATACAGCATTTGACTTCTGAATTAGGCTTCTTTTTATCTCTTGTTTGTTGAACTTTTCTTGGTGGTCTTTCCTGGTGTTGGTTTGTATTTAATCTGGAATGTATTATTTTTGCATTAGTTACTGGTACTTTTATGGGTTTCAGACTACCTGTTATAATGTATAGGTATATTACTTTTTGGTGTTGGCTTTATGGAGTGTAGATGAGAACTATGACAGATTGCAGACAGTGTGGCTTTTATGAACATTGTAACATTTATCTATATTTGTGAAAGTTGTTGTCCCTATATCCTTAATCAATTGTGCTCTTAAGGTCAGATCTTTCTTCATTCTGTTTCAGCACAATGCCAGTGCACATTCATTGCACCCACCTCTTGTTTCACCTTTTCTGCACTGCCTGAATGGAACTGACATACTTCTTTCTGAGTCACTAATGGATTGCACTTAGTGAACAGTGAACATGATTAACCCATCTATTTCTTCACTGCACTGAATGGAACTAACTTGCTTGAGGGCTTTATAACTACTTTATAAGCACTCTCACACTTCATAAAGGTTCTGGATAGTCTTTGAGTGACTTTGATATTTGACATCACTTAAGCAGTATCCAGAATATAGTAGAACACGTGAAGAGAAGGCTCAATATTTCAGTTGAACTAGAGGCATGCTCAGGCTAGGTGGCACAATACCCCCTCTACACTCAGCTCCCTCAACAGTTTATTTCATTGGGTGTGCTGCTATCTGGTGATACTTCGTGTAATGTTTCAAATATTATGTCATGGTTATTGATGTAGGTGTCATTCATGTGAAGTGTACTTGTGCTGATTAGGTAAATGTGATACTTCTCTAGATCAGTACCATGGACATCATAAAATTAGTGAAAAGAGGAAAACATCCAAATAATCTAGAAAAGGATCATATCTACATAATCAGAAAGAGTAACTTCCATATAAACAACACCTATATCAATAGCCACAATCTGATATTCCCAACTCTACACCAACTCAGTATCACTAGACAGTAGCACTCCCACCCACATGTACTCACAAAAGACGTACTATTTGCAGTATTTCACATTAATTAGAAATTGTCTCAAATCCATAAAATTACAATAACTAATACAACATTACATTCCATGACAAATATCAACCAAGAACAAGAAAAACGACCAAAAAAACACTAATAAACAACAGATCATGGAGCAGCCAATTTAGGAGTCAAATGCTATGGTGCTGAACTGCACATCATTTCTAATATCAACTTCGGCTGTAACCTTAATTTTAATTTCAATTTCATTTCCAATTTTAATGCTAATTTTAAAGCAATGAACCCAACCTCCCCTTTATAATACAATTGCTTCTCTCTCCTCTCTCACTTGAAATCTGTTAATAAGGTACAAATTCAGTGACCACCATATTATATGACAGATTTCGTGTCTGTTCATTTTACTGTGATTAAATGTATACCCTACAACAGTGAACTTACCAGATAACTCATTTTTGTTTTACAAATTGCACTATAATTTAAAATAACAGTTTAATGCTTTCCTTTATTTGGTGTTAATTAATGAATGATTGTTCACACAGCATTATTTAACATTTAATGAAACTCATAACAAAGGAATGGCAACCTTAATTAAGGTCTTCAGTGTCAATACGTATGTTTCTGACGTATGTAGGTCATGCAGCCTGTTGTATAAGTTCCAGCAACAAATCATCTACAATGGAAACCTAAGGAAGCTCCAGTAGCAGTTCATTTCAAACCTTTGCTTCTCTACTGTACAGTTTATAATCAAACAATTATCACCTTCTGGAAGTAGCTTACAGGCATCATTTTTATTAAGTGGGCAAAATAATTACTCTTATTGCTTTCAGATTTTCTAACTTATGCAAACTGGATTGTAAATTATGTGGACGAGGTGTTGCTAAAAATTGCTTCTGATCCTTAGCCCATTTCTCTGTAACCCTTTTACTACCAATACTAAATGCATTTGATGCTTAGGCAGTATGTGTATGGTGTCAGACCAGAATATGTTTTAAATGTCTTCAGCCTTATTTTCATGCCATCTGCAAATTTGCTTGTAGTATATACCCATGAACATTAGAATTCTTGTTTGGGGTTCAAGGAACATACTACACTATGTTAAAAAAGTATAATTAATTATTTGGAATATAATGTAGATAAAAGAAAACAAGGGAGTTGAAACTTTGACAGAATTGGCAGTGGATTTAGTGCAGTTTCACTTATGAGTAAACTTATGAACACCTCACAAATAAAGAGGAAAATATAGGAAAAGAAAAAGAATTGGCTGAAATTTCAGCACATTGAATTATAATTTAATTCTATACCTCAAATAGAATCAAAACTGAAGGAACAGGAGTCCTACATTTCGAGATTTATAAAACGTTATCCTGCCATTTTGTTAATTTTGTACCTAGTCTTTAACAGTTTATCAAAAGAGTTTGAATTAACCTTCTTTCAGATACAACGAGACCACCACGAAATGATGAAGAGAATGGAAGGAATTATTATTTTGTATCACATGATGAAATGATGGCTGATATTGCAGCAAATGAGTATTTGGAATATGGTATGTGCTCTTTTAATTCATTGTGACGAATATCTAATAAGACAAAAGTTTTTCTACACCGAGACCATGGAGAAAAGTCCCATGGATGGTGGGGTGACAACATTTCAGGCTTCTCTCTTTCTGCCTACAGCTGTATTCCCTTTAATCCCCTTCCTGCTCATGTCATCCAACCGAAAACTTATCACTGGTGACATATCAGTATTACCATTCATTTGAAGAGAAGGGCTAGAGAACTGAAGGGAATCTACTGCAGGAGGAAACACAGTCAGCTTGAGGGAACTGTGAAAATTACTGATGCATGAGACTCATTTCCACTGCCTTAGTTTAGAAATTAAATATTTATTCACCCACATAATTATCTCTCATTGCGATTTAGAAGACAGAAGTTAATGCTGAAGAAAGCAGTCTTCTTGGATGTGGCGCCGTGTAGATATTGTGTTAACCGACGTTTCGGAGGAATGTATCGTCTCCATCTTCAGGGTAGAAGAAAAAAGAAGAAAATCTGCTAGCGAGGAACCAGTGACAGCGGGTTGGTTTTCTTCTTTTTTCTTCTACCCTGAAGATGGATAGGATACGTTCCCGAAACGTCACTTAACACAATATCTACATGACGCCACATCCCAGAAGACTGCTTTCTTCATAGTCCCCACCGTGGAAACCTCGGATCTTACAGAAGTTAATGCTGTTTAACATGCTATATTTAAAAATAACCTAATTTATTAAATTATTTCTCTTCTGTGTAGGAACTCATGAAGATGCTATGTATGGTACAAAGCTAGAGACAATCAGGAAAATCCACCAGGAGGGACGGATGGCCATTTTAGATGTGGAACCTCAAGCACTCAAAGTGTTGCGGACAGCAGAATTTGCACCCTATGTCGTGTTCATTGCTGCACCAGTATTACAGAATTTAGCAGATGTAAGAGCATTGCACGTGTGTGTTAAGTTTGTCAACTTATAGCAAAAACATTTTGGATATGTTTTCATTGATCATTGTCAACAATTTCTAGTGCAGGTGATGACAATCTTTAAATACAGGTATCTCCTGTGACGGTCCAAACCTTTTACAATTCTCCATGGGACGCTATGGTCCTCTTTAGCCATTTCAGAAGGGTGACTGGTTTATTGGGGAGACGAATTTATTAGCATGTTATGACTTCATTTTCGCATCAGGACAGAAACAACTGCCTTCTTTTGTTACCTGCAGCTTGGGTGACCAGAAGGGGACAAGGCCACCACTGGAGGCAAGTCTGTAGTTTGCCGAAGATGTAAATTTTGTTTTGATGACAGGTGTAGCTGTCATAAAGTGTCTTCGGAAGGGTGTAATTGGACCCTAAACTAAGAAATAACTGCTTTCACGTGAGGGGTTCCGGGTACTATATCTTGGGAACTGTTTATTCTCAAAGTTCGATATGTGATTGGCTTGTGCTGATTGCATGATGAATTTGGCTAGTTGAAATCAGCCAATAGGAAACTATTCTTGTCTGGGAGAGAGGTCGTTGATTCAAATCCTTCACAGGGGATGAAGCGATGCTCCTGCAGGATAACAGTCTTCAAAAACTTGGCGTTTTGAATTCATCGGAGGCAGACGTCATTGGGCTGCACTCCTCAAGTTTATCTAAATTCATCAGTCCTTCACTTTGGTTGGATAAATCTTTGATAGTAACAAAGGGCCATATTACTCCATGCTGGCAAATAAAGTTATTTCGCTTCTGAAATAAACAATTTGTGGAGAGTGGAAATCATGTTGTTGATTTCGAGCAGTGGACTGGCTTTAAGTATGCAGTTTCCAGTTTCCTCAGTTATTACCGTAACACGATCCTGATAAGAGTCAAGTGGTCTACCGAAGCTGGCAAATAAGCATAAAGAAAGAAAAGGGGACGGTTACACTCCATACTTAGACAAATCGTGACCTGGAGTAGTCACACAACTTTAAATTTTTGTTACTACTCTTGTTTCACTGCCTTTTAATTTTCATTGAAAATGGATAATTCATTTTAATTTTAATAGTATTTGTTTTAATTGTTTATGAATCCAATTCTTTTTGTTTTGTGCAAGCAATTTAATTATTTTTAGTTTTAACTAAAATTATGAAATCACATTAACATGAAGGGAGATACCAGTACTCACAAACTGGTAGTTTATCAGCATTAGACATAGTAAAACAGACTTGAGTTCTAAGGAATCAACTTTGAATTTGATCTCAATTAACTGTACTAATTTTTTATGATTGTTAACGCATCAATTAAAGAGTGCATAAACAAAAAAATAAGGCCATTGTTGAAAAACCTTTTCGAGACATGGTTGGTCACTCTGTCCAAATAGATGTACCACATCTCAGATATGTTTAGAACTTAACATTTAGATTGTGCTCCTGTTTTGTCTTTTCATCAATGGAGGACAGCTTTTTAGGGTCCCTTGGGGCCTTCTTTGACCAAGAATGTCTGTCTTTTATTGTTATACACCAAGGATTGAGAAGATTTGTCTAGAGGTAACACTCTATAGACTCATATTTGGGAGGTAGTGTTCTGTGGTAGAGAGAAATGAATGTAAATTAATTACATTCTTGTAGGATATGACAGTGTGTAGTTTGGTGGCAGGTGTCAACATGTCTGTAGAACCTGCTACTGTATGAGTAGTACAGATAGAGTTTGGATTGGTAATTGGATTTATTAAACACTTACTGATCCTAACTACAAGCAACTGTAGCGCTATCACTAATTCTCACACTCTACAATTCGCTACAGCATGCACTAAGTCTTTTCAGTTTGCTGTGCCATTGCCTAGTAACAGCTCCCAGTGGCAGACTTTCCCCTTACTCTGGGTTTTGTGAACTATCCCTGTGCCTCAGCTACCAGCTTCTAACAGCAGCAGCTCACAACAGCCAAACTGCAGCAGTCATTTAACTGACTGGTTACTCTCCAACCGACTCACTTCGCTCCACTGTACTCAACTGCACTGCACTCACTAACCGAACTGTACTTGGTTGGTTGAGTCATATAGTCTTGGAGCAGACCCATAAAGAACATCTCTTTTACTGTAGCATGACGTCACCATGAGCGTGACATTTTCCTCAGTTCCATGTGTATGGGCCATTACCTAGCAACAGGCCTACATGATACAATTTTTTTCTGTTGTTTCTCTATTTCATATCATTGCTTGAGTTCATGTTGAATTCCAGCTATGCTATATGAATTTAACATTGTGTCTGTACCAATACAGGGTGTTCCGCATTGAAAAAGAAACGTGTAAAGATTAAACTTTGTATATCATTGGACATTCTGAAACATTGTTTTGTTAAATGAGTCAACGACATGCACCAGAGACACTTAATTTCTTTTTTAATTTGAATTTTTAAATAAAAATCATAAATTTGTATTAAGACTTAATAGATACTGAAAAACATTTTGTGAGAATAGTACATTTATTTTTCCAGTCTTTCCACATGTGCCTTTGGCAAGAATGGTAAGATGATGAGTTACAGACAAAGGTTATTAGATTGTGCAGGGATATCAAAAATATTCCAAAATTACAAAAGATTGTAATTTATACTTCAAACATGTAAACACATCCCTTTTATATTTAATTGATGGATAAATACATAATATCATATGAGCTTAAACCAGGTGTGCATGTCCAATTTGACTGAATCAGTTTATTGATCACTACTTCTTTATATCATTTTCACTTATATACATGGTATTACATTTCAGTATGATGGGAGCCTGGAGCGTCTAGCAAAGGAATCAGATCTTCTTCGGCAAGCCTATGGTCACTTCTTTGACCTCACCATCGTCAACAATGATATTGAAGAGACAATTGCTGCATTAGAGAAGGCTATAGAACGAGTGCATACCACACCTCAGTGGATACCTGTATCCTGGGTCTACTGACAGAAAATGCCATCAGGCTCCACTGCTTCGCTCAAATAGGGAGTCAGAGTAATATACATACCATCCATGGAAGCAAGAGGCTGTACCATCTCAGTGAGTTACCAACAGATACTGCTGGAACATGATGCTTTGCTCAAATGGCACATATGGGGAGAAATTTTCCACCCTGAAGCACATGTTCATTGTCTTCACTTATGAGTGCTACCAGGTACACGGTATTCTTTTCCAGTCACTCAAATCGATTTATGGCTTGGCTGGCAGATGAGGAACCTTGTGTCCATTGCTGCTGATGGAATCTACTGCCAGAACCCCTCACTTGCCAGAGACTTTGTGTTTATCGGTTGACTGATGGGATTAGGACAAGAAGGACTGTTGGAACATATGATTCTATTACATATTATATAAACTTTGCCTTAATCTGCATTTTTAACTCCAGTATGTCTTGGCTTCATTACCTAGCAGTAAAACAATTTAACGTAAACATGATGGATCTGCAATTTTTAAATTCCATACAAAAACAGACCGACTAACCTTCAGTAATAAAACATAAGTTTTTGATCTTCATTATCAACACCATGGTCCAAGTCACATTTGTAGATTGTCAATAAATACTGCAACCAGATATATATTATATAATGCACAAAAAAAACAGTTTATTTATTATTTACTTGTGATGCAAGTGAACTGAAGAGTAACAGAAGAGGAATAGCGAAAGGTGACAACAGTGGGTTTCTTGCTATCAGCAACAAGAAAATAAGATCAGCTATTATACAAACGCACAATACATCTTGGGACGAAGACAAATCTGTAAACTGTATTGCACAACGATAACAGAGCTTTCGTTCATTATTCAAAGCGTTCCACACAGATTTGATAGAAAGAACTGAATTTAATGGGAAGGTGTATTTTTGTTATAAACTACACATGTAGACTGGCCAAATAGTGAAATCACATATGTGATACAAATTTAAATAATTATATGTATGAAAGACTGTTATGGACTAGCAAGTGAATTTGGAGCTAGGTGGCTGGCAAGTTGTGTGGAATGTTACATTTGGGTCATCAGTGATGTTGGCTGTGAGTTGAGTGTTAGTATGATGCTTCTTGAGGGAAAATAAAGTAGTGGAAAACCCAGATACATATAGCGAAGTGTAGTTTGTCATAAGGGGAGCCAAGTAACAGTGTGTTTTGTGAGATCATTAAAAATGACAAATAAAAATGATTTAAATCTAAGTTAAAATAAAAGAATACCTGAACTAATATGAAGATACTTGAAGCATAAATAATGATTTACATCTCTCGATAACTTCCATTAATAATACAATAAAGCAAGTATTCCTACCTATTCTAATTAATAAGAATTAAAATAGCTCCAAATAAATAGAATCAATGAACAGTATGGAATGAATCAAGAGACATGTGTTGTCAATGATTTAGTCAGAAAAATAAGAGCAAAAACAAAATAGATTTGTATGTGTGCATGTGTGTGCAGTTTCTGTATTATCCTACGTAACACATAGGTTAATTCAGGTTAACAGTGGTTTTATACATGCTCCAGTGATGTCAACCATTAGATAACAGCTGGAATTAGAACGTTAGAATACACATAATGGAGTCAGTGTTTATTTTTTTTTCCTTCCTGCATCTTACATCTTGTGCATTCCTGTTGTCGACCAGAATGACTGAGCAGCGCCGAAGTGAATTAATGATGCAGTGGCTTAGAATAACGCATTTGCAAGTTATTTGAGTATTCAGGAAACTAAACTGTAGAGTTACATATCAGGGGTTCATGTAATTCAGGGATGTTTCCATCATTCAAGACAACTATGGAGCCATGAGTGTGCCATATTGTTGTTTGGAAACTGATGCTTATTCTGCATGCCTATGGGAACATCTAGAAGTCAGTTAAGTAAGTTACATACTGTCCTTCGACTTCTGGAAGTGCCTATTTGTTGCCACACATTTCTCTATAAAAACCTACTCCCACTTTCCAGCTGAAAAACACATTTTAAATAATTCACAATTGTGTCATTATCTTTTTGTTACTCTAATCATATGAACTGGCTGCATTTCCTCCTTCATGAAACTGTGACAGAAATCTTCTCTCTGATGAAGTCAGTACCAAGAATGTGTGCCATTAACAGACATGTTTTGGGTGGAGCTGAGTATACTTATAAACAAAGTTACCGCCTTGTCAGTTATTTTTATTTTATATGTGAAAAAATCAGCATTTTATGATGTAAAGGGAAGAACCCCCAACAATTTTGCAGTTGATGCACTTTAAACATTGTTTCAGGTAGCTTTTTACTTGTGTGCCCACTATTCCTGTTTCTTGAAGCCTCTGCTTTTGATGAACCATTGTTGTTATGTCATATCCAGTAACTGTTTTGCTATTGCTGTAGCAGAGCTTATGCTAGAATGCATGATGTAAGTACAGTATGGCAGCTTGGTAAACTGAACTTCATTTGGAATGTTACTTCTTGATGGAGTTTTGTCTCCTGCTAATTATAGAAAATTGGCCTTTCTTATATCATACCTTTCACTTTCACACACTAGGTCTTCTCAGTCTATTTCAGTCTTCACTAGCCATTCATTGGTAACAATTTCCAGTGGTGGACATTTCCCTTTCTATGGTCCATTATATGTGAAATAGTGCAAGCAGAAGACATAGTTGTAGGAAGTGGGATGTCTCATGCCGAAGACTTTAACAGACACATGAAGTAACATAAAAGGCCCTTCATGTACATCTCATTTTTGCATAAGAAATTAAACTAGTACAATTAAAACAAATTTAACTTATTTTCCGAGCAATCCACTCATAAGTATGTCAGGCCTACCCAAATGTATATCACAGCAAATGTGAGACAGTTTCAAATCAAACATTTTCATAGAAGTACAATATTTACAAGGCAGACATAGAAATACTTGATGCAAATAACTTACCCTATTTGGAATACATACTTAATGATACAGTCTCTTGCATTTATTTTTTTGTTTGTGATTTATTTTACACCTGTCAGTATTGAGTGACAGGATAATTGGTGAATAATGAACTGTAAGGATTTGGAAGGAAATGGTCATGGCCTAATTGAGGTACTATCCTGGAATTTTCCTGGAGGAACTGAGGAAAATCACACTAAACCTCAGGATACCTGGTGCCTCAGTTTAGATTTGAACCAAGCCTGAATACAAGCCTAGCATTACTGCTTGAGCTAACTTGCTCAGCCACTTGTATTTATTATCTACACAGTGTAGAAAGGAAATTGTAGTTAATTTGTTGGAACACATGTCTAATATACATATGTTGCTGAATAAAAGAAAACACAAAACAGTACAAATTATTTTGTTACTGTACATGTGGGCCTATTTCATGTCTTCATAACTTTCTGTAGACCCCATATCTGAAATTTCATATATTTTCATGAGATTTTAACTGAAATATTTTACATTTTCACATTTGTTTTATGTACTGCTTTAATGCATTCTGGGTTTATATAATTTAATAAACACTATCAAATTATAACACAAACTAATATGTATTTACTCAACACCCTGACATGTTTCAACTCTCAGAAAGTCAATATCAGTGTGATCAATTAGCCAAAATGTGTAGTACAATCATACAATACTTCTACAATATTGTCAGTTCATCCTAAAGCTTTGTAATACAATTAGAAATAAATATGTCTCTAATTTTCTTAGTGAGTATATAGAGATCAACAGTATCCATAAGAGAAAAACAGTCAACTTTGTTGTTGAAAATGTTAATAAGAAATGAACCATCAATATTTTGAAGCCTAGAATAAAGTGTTTTAAAATGTAAATAATTCTACACTGACTCATAATTACAAAGAGAGCTTGACTGATTTGCAAATTTCCTTTGTATGTTTTCGATTTTATTTGACTCTGCTAAAGTGAGGTTGTTTAAGATAATAATAACAGCATATACAACAATTGAAGAAAAACCTATGATGTATGGCTTACACATTATAAAATAAGAATTTTAATGCCTCTAAAAATTTAAGCTGTCAGTGTACGAAACGTGCTATAATTTGTACCATACTTATTTTCAGTTATAATAGGATGAACTGACAATCTTATAGAAACATTGAGTGCTAATAAAACACCCCTGATGATGACTGAGAATCAAAATATGTCAGGGCACTGAATAAATAAATATTATTTTATGTTGTAATATAATGGCATTTAGTGAATTCTATGAATTCATGAAACATCATTTGGAACATCAGATCCATCAGCCCCTTTAAACATGAATTCTTCTGCATTTTGATTCCCAGTGTGACTTTGTGGTCATGTTCCTTTTTATAGGTACAGGCTTTTTATATTTCATACTTCATGTAAGTTTTAACTTATGTTGAACTTTCTTCCTCTTGCTGTGTTCCTGTTTTACATATACAGATGTGAATATTATTCAGATATTTTGAACTTACAAGAAGCGTCAGAGCTATTCAGTTTTCCAGTACTGGCGTCACTTCAGCTTCTTACGATGGGAGATAATAAATGGATGCAACTGAATGTGAAGTGAAAAGCAGAAGGATGTGTGTACTTTGAAATGAAATATCTATTTGCAGGTTAAAAAAAATAAATGCATTGGAAACGTCTGGTAGAAATTAAGAATACCTATTGTATGCCACAAAATATGTTGGTAAATATGTTATTTAGCACTGTATACATGGATTTGTTATCTTCAAGGAAATGTTTAATTTATTTTAATTGTACTTCCTCAGTACTGTTTCGTGTTACCTAGTGAATTTCTAATGTGAACAATTCAAGCTTGCAAGTACATAATATAATAATTTATGTGCAGCTTCAGCTTTTGAGGCTTAATTGCATCACATGTTGTAGCTGTTCCATAGTTTCAAATTACAATGCAGTCATGACCTTCAAGGTAAAGATGATGACTTTAATGTATACCAAATTGTTGAAACAGCTTCACATATGATGCAGATAAATTCTAAACATGGCCACAAAATCTAAGGACAAACCTAAGTTAGTTTGTTCCTAAAGCCTAGGTACAGAGTGAAAAAATCTACCAGTAAACTAACAGTTTGGTGTCATCACTGTAACTGGTAAAGTGATTATAATGAATGCAAGGATATAAGGATTTGAGGTCATTTCGAAAGCTTTCAAGTTTACTTAGGATTGCTTAGAAATGGATATAGTAACTGGCAAAGTGATTATCACCTGTGCAAGAATTTGTGGTTTTCTTGACAGCCTGGAAGTATTCATAAAAGTTCTTAGAAGGGAAATAATGTTAACATTTGGAATGCAAATATTCTCTTATTTATTTGATGTATAAGATGGACTGAATTGCAGGAAATCACTGAAATGGCAATTTGAACTTTTAAAGATTTCATGAAGAATGTACACTGATTTTTCCTGCAGAAGGTAAAGAGTTGCCTCATTTACATGCATTTCAAACTTTACAGTTCAGTAATTACTTGGGCTAAGAATAAAAGTCTGCATATTTTCCCCACATTGTCAAAGCTCACACTTACAATACCTTTCCACATGCTTTTTATACAATTTAGAATTTGGATTCAAATACTTTCCATGATGTTCAAAGAGCATCTGCGACTCCTTTTCCAATTACATCTTCAGTATTATTGTACCCATTCTTTTATGTAAATACACATACCTTATCATGGGAATTGATTAACAAGTTGTAATTAAGCTATAGAACTGTTGTTACTGCTTATGAAGCAGATTCAGACCTTTTTGATGAACATCTTTTATGCTACAAAAACTCGTGGAAATAAAATTTGTGATATCTCCAAACTACCATCTGTAAATGCAAGATGCTTTCTTTTGTTTCACAAGAACAGAATCACAGTGCACTTTACTGTAACATCCCATCATCAAGTAGGTAATAAATGGTAAACATGCATGAGTGGCACTGTCATCTCCATTGCATGTTTTAAGAAAAGTCTGGGAACTACAAACCATTAATTTCATTACATCTGGCCTATTCATTATATTAATTGGAACTATATTATCCATAAGTGAGAGAAAGTGAACCAAAATCACTGGACACTTTTATTAGAAAGTCTCCATTTTGTGTCTGAAATATCACAGGAAGAACTTTATTTTTTAAGTTCTTACTTCCACATTCATTGAACAGAAGTAGTCGCACACATAAAATCTATAGGACTGTTCAAACTGTACAGTTGTGCATGGACACATGAACAGCCACTTTTCAGACTTCAGTGAAATCTGGGGACTGATTTTCTTAATGCAGAAGTTAACCTTGTAACGGTTTCACACATATAAACATTTTAATTGCAGTGAACTCCCTGGTATCTGGCATGTATGGGAAATTGGGTGTGCTGGTTATATTAATCTAATGGTTACATGAGCAGAACCTCTTACAGATATCCAATAAAAAAGTTAACACATTTTAATTCTAGTTCTTGCATGGGAGTCTTCCTAGGTGACACAGCTGACTTATGGGTGAGGCTTTGGACACATAATGGGTTCAAAAATTCAGCTAGCTTCTACGATAATGGCACCTGCATGAGAGAGGACAATGAGTAGTGTTGCTATTGGCACCTTGGGGAACTACTACTTAGCAGATGAACATAAGCACATGAATTTGTTTTTAAATAACTATGAAAATGTTGACTTTCTTTGATATTTTGCCAGTTGGATAAGCATTCTGTGTGGGAGTTTACTGTACTGTGTTTGATTTTAAGTTCTTATAGCAGTGACTGTAAAATGCTATCTTCTGAGATGTAATGCCATGTAGTCTGGAACTGTTCTTGCCAGGCTTACTCTGTGACCCTGAAGACAGAAGATGAAAGCAGCTTTTCCTCCAAAACTTAGGCTAGACTACACAATGTTACATCCCAAAACAGGGTACTCTTCTTGAATTCTGATCAGATTAGAATACCACAGCTTGTATAGAAATGTCCTTACTCATGAACACACAAAAGAATTAAATTACTATATATTTCTTTGGTTATTGTTACAATTAGAGTTGAGTTCTTTGTAAAATTACATACAAATGTTAATCCATTAATATAACCTTCATCTATTTGCTATTTCAGTATTAATTATTTTATTTCACTGGAAAGAGCGAATCATATGTGACACTGACTGAATTTATTGTAATTTATTATACTTCCCATGTTTGAGCATGTAAATAACAAAGTGCTTAAATAATGTTTGTTAGCCTTTCAATAATAAGTTATGTTTGGCATGGATGTAAAATTGAGGTATGTAGTGTTGTTGACTTAGATTTAGGTCTATAGGTGAAACTTTGTAATTATGCAGCCCATACACTGGCTCCACTCTGGTAAGTTCTTTGTTGGAATGGAAATTACATATAATTGATTACAAACTTGGAAAGTTTTATATTCTGTTTCCTCCTTCACTTCTTTCCTAACTACTCCATGACTGGATATAAGGTTCTTTTATTCTTTTTATTTTATCACAGGCATACAAAGAATGATTTAGTCATGTGGTCAAACCATTCTCTCAGACCTTTAGTCTCGATTTCCTTTTGTATGAGTTGGGTTCTGGGTTATTTAACAATACAGTGTGATATGATACGATGACTGATGAATTGGAAGGAACTGGTTATGGCCTAATTGATATATTTGCCTGGAGACATCATGGAGTTAAAAAAAAAACCTGTCAGGATAGCCAGTATCTTGGCCAAGATTTACATCATGCATCTTCTGAATAAGACAGCCTACCCAGGGATCTTTTGTGCCTGTGTGACAGAGTAGTGATAACCGTGAAGTGAGATGGCATAACTTACTACAGCACAGCATGCCAATATAAGAGTATATTTTATGTACAGCTTTTATGATAGAAATGCTACAGCTGCACCAAGAGAATACCAGCATTGATATCCAGATTGGAGGCAACCCAACAGATGTAATGGTACACCAAAGTCTGAAGGAAGCAGATGAATGCATGAGACCCACAGTAGATACAATGTACAGAATGAAGGGTGAAAAGTGTTATTAGCTCCTACACATGCTAATCTATTGACCATTACTTGTCAGGCTGCACATGGAACATGCCTCTCAGACTGCAGTTTGGCATATTGTGTGAGCTGTTGTGTCCTCTTAATGCACAACTTGTACAAGAGTTATATCCAAGTGACAATAATTTTTACTTCCAGTTCTGTTAGTGGCTTGAATACAAACCTGTAGTTGATTCTTAGCTTTTGTGCTATGTACTGATGAGGCAACTTTCACAAGGAGTGGAATAAATGGGCTCTGGAGAATTGCCATGCTACTCAAGATTCTTCATATGAACAAAGATTTGGCATCTGTGTCAGGGCCAAAATTGTAGACAGTTAACTGTCTTGGTGAAATTAAATTTACTGATTTTCTTGAAAGAAAACATCCTCTTTGATATATCCGTTAAAGTCTGACAGGGCTTGTGATATCAGCAAAACAGTACCCCTCTCCATAACATATGCAAGGTGTGTAATTCTCTGGCCTCCACATTTTCATCTGAACCCACTTTATTTTTCTTACGGGAATGTAAGTATGCTACGTTAAGCGCAATATCATGATGAAATCACTAATTATATCTTGGTGGCTGGGATGAACATTAGAGGTTAACCCAAACAACTGGCTTTTATCAGGGACCCCAGCATTACTGTCAACTGTGCATGTCAGCTGGAGGAAATAACTTTAAGCAGTTGTTGTGAATATACGTAGTACTGTGCGTAAGTCCCCTTTACATGAGCAGACATACAGGGGATGGACAAAATAATGGGAACACTAAAAAAACTGGGGAACAATTTGTCTGCGTCAGTCATACTGAATGTTCTTCTATTTGTCTACACTGTAGTGCTCATGTCAGTGTGTAAATGATAATGTTGAGTGACAGACTGCATGAAAGAATCAGAAATTGGGAGATTTTTCCGATTTTGAAAGGGGACAGATCATTGGAGCACCTCTGATAAAAACTGCCACATTAGTAGGTGTATCAAAAGCAACAGTTTCTAAGGTTATGTTGGCATACACAAATCATGGGAAGACAACATCAGCAAAGAGAAACTGTGGGGGAAAAGGAACAAGGACAAAAACTAAATCCTTTGGTTTAATGAGTTTGATACCAATCTTTTAGCCATTTATCAATTTTAATTTTTTGTTTTGTTTCAGACAAATCATTTCATTATCATCACTAAATAACTTGAATTTATAATTAAATCAATTGCGTTAACAAAAATTAGCACAAGTCAAGGGATTCTTGTCCTGTACTTTTGCAGGTATATCTAGTGGTTTCCTAGTTATAATCTTTTTCATGTTTGAAGAGATTTGGAATATTCTGATTTCTGGAGGGCCTTGCTGACCAAAGAAGACATTTTATATGGTAGTGGTATACCAATATTCCATGCTAATCTGACTCCGTTTCAGAACAGTGGAGGTTTGAAGTGTTATGGATATTGTCCTCATTATATTCACTGCCATACTGAAGATAAATACTCTATCCAAAAAACACTGTGCTTCTTAGAGCGTTAAATTTCAGTAACTGTATTAGAGATTAAATACTAACATAAATATCACTGCAAACTGAACTTTTCATTGTATTTTATAAATATTTTGAAAACGTCAATAGTCAACAGTTAGAAGTTGGTACAGTTTCGGAGCCTTTTTCAAGAGAAATCCTTGTACATTTAGTGTAGACAAGAAGCCATGAAAGTCTGAAACTTTAATTCTTGTTAACTGAGCTACTTCCTTCAGTTCCTGTATAGAAAACACTGAGCGGCATTGTGCTTCAGCACGTTGTTGTAATGCAGTGATAAATATCTTTCCTTGATTTCTGCTAGATGTGCCTGAGCCATTTTGTGAACGCTGAAAATCGACAGTACCAATACCATCACTAAGTGTGTCCACCATGCTGTATTTCATAATCTCTACTACATCCTGTGCATCCTTCTCTATAGCCTCTTCTCGTAGCTCCAGTTTAGCTCTTGCTTCTGTCAGACGGATGAGAGATTCTAGCTGACGAGTAGTGATGGGTGTGCAGTCACTAGACTGATGATGACAGCGCAGATCTAAATAGAACTTCTGCAAGACACTGGCAGATGACTGGGTGAGTCGAGGCTGAACATATTTCCTAGCATACATGAGATACTTACGAAAGAGCTGGTGAGGTAAGAAATCCATGGTTTCACCAGGGCGCAACTTGAGCCATTCATAAAGAGGTTGTTCAATTTGTTCACCGCTACAGTCTGATACAGCACCTGACTGCTGCTGTATTTCTCCCCTCCACTTGATACCAGAATGTAATGCCATTACATGCTCTGACAACAGGCTATCCAACTGTTCATTAGGTTGATCCAGTAGAATAAACACCAAATCAAACCGCGAAAGAAGTGCTGGACCCATTCGTAAATTCTCAGACACTGTTTTAGCACGATTGTAGTGGCCACCAGTTGGATTTGCAGCTGCTAATATGGATGTTCTTGCTGGAAGAGAACATACTACACCAGCCTTGGCAATACTGATACTTTGCTGCTCCATGGCTTCCAGCAGTGCCTGGTGTTGACTTGTCATCTTATCAAATTCATCTATACAACAGCAACCTTGGTCAGCCAAAACCAGAGCACCTGCTTCAAGAGCATAGTTGCCACCAGCTTCTCTCGTAAGTGTAACAGTCAGGCCAGTAGCGGTGCTGGTGTTACCACATACATACACTCCCCTGGGAGCAACATTAGCACATGCTTGGAGCATCTGAGACTTCCCTAGCCCAGGGTCACCCACCACTAGAACATGTGGGTCTGATCTCCCATCAGTATAATGGAACGAGCCTCCAAATAGAGCTAGCAACAGTCCAGCTTTTACCATTTCATGCCCATATATTGCTGGGCACAGCGAATTTACCAGGAGTCTAAACAGATCAGGTTGTGAGTGGATCTCCTGAATAGCATAGTAATCATTTATGTTGAATTCAATCCCTATGCCTTTCATGCATCCTGCATGAGTTTGATTCTTACTGTTCACAACTGAAACAGCTTCAATATACATAAGGAACATACTGGGAACTTTCTTTTTTGCGTTCTCTTCGCTGTTCCGAACCTTGACAATTCCAGTGATAGTGACCACATCTCCAGGGATACAAGAATCTAATAAATCTTCTGTAAGTTCACATTCAACAGAGCGTGGTACCCGTCCACCTTCACGCTGATCATCAGCCAGAATTTCTTGTAGTCTCACTGACTGCCAATTAACTGTCTGGGTAAATGGAGAAGAATGCAGTGGAGTAAAAGATTTCGCACGACAGCCTTCAGTAATACATTTGGTTGGTTGTGAGAAGAAACCTTCAGGCTGCTTTACACACTGCACTGCATGACAAATGTTACACTGAAAAGCCATCCACACACAGAGCAGCTTAATATTTCCAACCCGAATTATTGTTCCACGTACAGAAACAAGTTTTCCAAAGAACATGGACTTCAGATTCTTTAATTGTATGATAGGTTCAAAATTTACAATTCGAGCTCTGATACTGGGCAAATTTATGGGGGGCATCACTTCTTTGTCTTGTAGCTGCACCTTCACTTCACTTTGCAATACTGATAAAACAGCCTGATGCATTGCTAATCCCAAGCAATTTATCGTGTGTTCTGGAATGTCACATAAATCCTCCTCAAAAGTTGGCCACAGTGAAGTGAAATCACTATCATTCCTTAGGCTTTTGAGGTCAACTGAGAATGACCTTCTCTCTTCTATAGCAGAATATGAATACAAAGAACTATTCTTCTTAATGAATTTTTCCATTGCTTGCACTTTATTTACAGTTGTGAAACCTTCTTTGTATGCTTCTTGTGGAAAATACAATTTCCATCCTTGATATGGACTGGATATGCTCTGGAACATATCTACTACTTGTATTTGGCTGCTGTGAGGTTGAGTGGATGGTACATTTGGTCCACTGAAAAGGGTGGACATAACAGTATCCCTATTTGAATTCTGTCCTCTGTATTTGTTGTTAAACCAATTCCACCTTCCTTGATACCCCTTGCCTCTGCGTTGTGATTGCCAGCTACCTCTGTCTCGAGAACGCCCAACACCTCTTCCTTGTGTCTGCCAGCCACCTCTACCTTGAGTTCCCCTATTACTCCATTCTGAATTTGAAACTCCTCTCTTCATTTCTGTGGTAGTGTCTTCAACTATGGAAATTAAAGGAAAATCAAACACTTTCATCTATAAACTATAATATATAAATGCGTTACAGAATGAAGTGACAGCTTAATACAAAACACAAAAGGGTGCAAAAATTAAACTTTTTATTGTATTTTACACACGAAAAGGGGTTTAAGACTGCGAGACTGATATATACGTCGTAGACACTCTTAATCTATTAATGAACTGAATCGAGAAACACTGATAAAAATGCTCTACGATTATACCTTTAGGTGAGATAATTTAGCATATTACATGCGACAGTGAATTACTTTCTTTCTTGAAGAACATGTCATTTACACAACTGAGACGTTTATATTTCATGAGCTCCATAACACAAACTCTTCGTTTCATTTTGTGGTTCGATCTTCAACTATGTAATATCGACGGAATACTCTTACCTACTGTCCACCACATTTAAATCTGTTACACAATTACACAACATTAATAATTTTAAGCCGCTAATGTCGAAAGCAGGGGGGCTGAGTCTGGGATAAGGGAAAAGGAAACATGAAGAACTGCCATCTCTACGCATCCTACATGAACTAGATAGTACGGAAATGATTGGAATCGATCATTATACACCTATCGCAATTAATCGAATTTCCAAGTGTGAGCCAATCAGAGAATCTTGAACGATCTTGAAATCTTGAATTTCCGTCGAAGGCTTTGGGCGTTGCCTCGGTAATATTGCGTAGTTTGTAACGTTTCTTGTACGCCAATGAGGTGTCATGTAATTAATTAGTTTAATTAGTATTTTTTATTGCTAGTGGGGCGGGACTAAGTCCCTTGTACTGCGGCCACTTCTGGCCTATTGTACCAGCCCCAGATGAGAGGTGAGGGTGATTGTGGAGCAATTGGTGGAATGAAGCTTGACAGGGGAAACCGAAGTACTCGGAGAAAACCTGTCCCAGAGCCACTTTGCCAGACCCGGACCGCCGCGGTGGAAAGCCACCTACTAACCGCTTGAGCTATGACGCGGTCAGATTAATTAGTAAGTAAGAATTTTAATTTGATGTGGAACGAGAGTCTACATTTACGCACGAATTTGTAGCCGTGTGTTATTTTTGTATATGGATTATTATGCTTACTACGCCCAGTGAAATTAAAAACAAACATGAAGTCAAAAAGTGTTGCAACTATATTTCATCGATATCGTATTTCTGTATTTTAAGCATCATTCGGTGTAGCCTAAAGAAGGACCGTAGAATCTCAAGAGACTCTGAGTTTACTGTGATTGTGTTATAATTTTTGTATTGTTTCTTGCAGGATAAATGGGAAGAATAAGAAAATGTTTCGTTCCTGGGTGCGTGTCATGCAGTGAGCACACTGGAATCAAATTCTTCTATTTTCCCAGGGATTCAGCACAGTATGAGCCAGATGTAAAATATTATTATAAAACATACTGTAAAATTTTGGCCAGTGTTATTAAAGGAGCTAAAATTCTTCATTATAATTCATTTCTAATTATAGTAACAAAATGAAAACCACCTGGAGCAACAACGAGAAGTCCCCGTTGAAGACGCCGTAGTGAAACTGTTCAAAGGACGGATGTAGCAGCATAGGGACCAAGCTGCAGAGCGACGCGGGGAGCCAAAGAAACTGACCTGAGGAGATTGTGGATCCCAGATGAAGTTGGCTGCCGCCTGCAGGAAGGTGTCCCGCCTTGAAACAATGGCAGGGCGCAAGGTGAACATCTTCAAGGAAATTGTGGACTGCAGAAAGAATTAACCGCATCCAGGAGGAATATTACACGCTGTGCAGGACACAGACATATGGAACAAAACAAAGACGATGTCACACCAAGAGGCCTGAAAGTAGGGACTTTGATGCACTGAAGTGTTAATGCTTGCTAAGCTCATGAAATATGAGCATGTGGACTCACTGATGTCTGTTGGGAAGTAGGAGGGTATAGTTAGAGTGGTAGGATAAGAGGGAGAGGCTAAGAAGCACATGGGATGGAAATCTTCAAAATTCATACCATTCTGCTGCTTTTTCCTGAGCATGCTTCTGCTGTACATGTTACCAGCATAAGGGACTGCCAAATTGCAGTCAAAATAAATACTGGCTTCTCATTAGATATCACATTTTTGTAATCAGGTTGTCAAAAATGAAGGTTAGCTCAAAATATAACCCATAAGTTCCTGTGATTTCCTTTAACCCTATTTGGGTGGAGTCGTGTATTTTTATTGGAAGTGAAGGATTGGTAAAGCGTTTGCCTTTAACCCTGAAGATAGAGGCGAAATATTCCTTCGAAATATCAGGTGACTTTCACCTCATTACATGACATATCCCAGAAGACAGAATTCTTCATGGGCACTGCTGTAAGAACCTCAACTCCAACATTATTTGTTACAATTATCTTAGTAGTCTGCATCCTGTTGTGTGTCATAAACAAGGTAAATAAAATTTATACGAAAGTATGCAGTCAACACAACAATATTCTGTATTTTAAACAAAACAGACTATCGTATCAACATTTGCCTTTATCGAGGCTAGAGCACCAAGACTGCATACTTTTGTATACAGTTTATGTAATTTGATTTGTCCCATTCTGGTCCATCACACTATTAATTACAAAGTGGATAATTTTCAGTCCAGTGTGACATACAAGTTTATAACACTTCAATCTTTATTCAGCTTACATGTTTCGATTCAAAAGAATCATCCTCAGAGGCGCACCACTACGATCAGGAAACACTGTCACATAAGATGTTTTAATAATATGCACTTATGCTATGAATATGTACCTTGATTATGTGTTATTGTCAGTGGGAATGTACCTTCAAATATGTTTAATGTTGTGTGCCTTATTGTACTCAGTACAGTTTAAGGAGTTGCCTTTCATGTTGTTTTATATTGCACTAGCTGTAATAAGCAGTGATCCAAAAGTGTGGCAAACATGAGGAAGTGTAACAGGTTAAAATTATGGTTATAAACAGAAGTGCGCTTGTTTCTCACCACAGATAACATTGTAGAGTGGGGGGGGGCACTGGTTTATGGTATAGCAAATTTTTTTTAATGTCACTACAATATATAATTAATCGTTATTTACTTTTCTCATACAAATACAGACGAGAATCATGTATGAATCGTACATTTTTTCATATCTTCCAATTGCTTACGTAAAACAGTGAGTGGCAGATAATTAAATGTGAAGTGAGGGATTCTTATTAATAGTTGTATTTGTGCATTGGAGGGGCATAACCATTGTCTTTATAAGGCCACTATCATGATGCTTGCAAAGTGTGCATTCTCATGAGAATGTGCAAGTATTGGTTCATTCCCATTTGTTTAGGCATACTGGTCCCGTGGCCTTCATTTATTCACGCCTCTTCCATTCAGTCCTGGCAAGGGAGGTTTGTGTTCTTCAGAACCCACCTTTTTGTAAATGCTGGAAACCTGGACAATGTTTATTTAGGTAAGAGACATTTTCACCTAGTTCTGTGGTTCATGTCTGCTGACATGTTTGTATACTCCTGTATATGCAGGACAAGTATTTTTGTTTGTGTAGTCTTTTTTATGGCAGTGTCAGTGGCTACAGCCTACCTGTATATCATCAAATGGTTGGATGAACGATGATGATTTGGAAGGTAGTGGTTATGACATGACTGAATGTACCATACCATTATTTGCCTGCATGGTCTGAGGAAAACCATCAGAGACCTCAGTCAGGATAGTTAATGTACTGGCCAAGATTCAACACAGGTGCCTCCTTAATACTAGTCATGTTACTGCTTGAGCCAGCTGCAGTAAATATTATAGGAAAATTGACAGTTTCTTGATGTAAATTTGCATTAGCCCTATTTTCTGAAAACCATGATTTATTATAAGGAACACCATTTTCTGGGAACTTCATTAAATAAGGGTTTAGTTGTAATTACACTTGAGGAGGTAATATAGCTCTGTGTTAGCATTAATAGTGATGGAAAAAGTTAAGAGAGAAATTCCTTCAGTGTTCATTCAGAATTAAAAGCTTTGTAAACCTGGAATACTTATTTCAGAAGTATCACTTTTTTATTACAGGTCAAGAAATGCCTACGAGTTTTCAGGCTTTGATGAGAACTGTGCGGATGGCATATGGGATTGGTGTGGCACTACGTCTTGACCAGATGGGATGTATTAGCTGAATTATTGTATACCTGTCCTTTACTGGCGTGAAGACCAGCCAAATCCTGGTGTGCAGTTTGGTATAGGTGTTCATTTCCCATAATTAAAATGCCATATGAAAAATCTGATTTGCAGGCATGGCATGAGGTTGAGACATGGCATAGTAGTTTATAAGATTGGAGAGGGTTTGGAGACACCAATATGAAATCGCTTTTACTACATGCCTTAGAATTCTGAAGGTGGTAAACCTGTGAAAGAATTCTGGAAGATCTCAACTTTTGTCTGAGCATATTATTGTTGCCACCAGATCATGCAAATCAAGGCTAGTGTAGGTATTTGTAGCTTGAAATTATGACATGAATAAATTAACATATTGCATAGTGTTCATAAATACATTATTTATTTATTTTCAGTTAATGACAGATATAAAAAAAAGAAGGTAACTGTTCTATTATTTTCAATAAAACGTTACATATTGGGCTACTGTTTACAACATTGATTTCACTTTCCATGTTCTAAGAGCTGTATGATATGGACAGTAATCCATAAATTATTTATTTATTTTCAGTTAATGACAGTTCTAAAAAAAGAAGGTAACTGTTCTATTATTTTCAATAAAACGTTACATATTGGGCTACTGTTTACAACATTGATTTCACTTTCCATGTTCTAAGAGCCGTATGATACGGACAGTAATCCAGTGACGGAGAATCTTTCACCATATCCAACTATATAGACTCCAAGGTTACTGGGAGCAATTATTAGGAACAGTGGACGTGGAATTGTAAAGACGAAGTGTTTACTGTCTATCCTTAAACACTGCCTGAAGTCCTATATCCTCTGTCCACGTCCCATCTAGACAAACCTTGCAATCCATCCTCAGTAGTGTTCACTTTAGGACAGATATCAGTGCTCATGTGTTCAGTGCACTTTAGACCTCTGCAGAGAATATTAGACAAAGATCACTATGATGTCTCCGGTTTGATCTGTCAATCAGTAAGAATTTTCATTTCAATCCGAAGTTTAAAGCGGCGGCAGCAGTGAGACATGGGTATTAGGAACCAAATATAAGAACATAACAAAATTTGCTCAAATGAGACTTCTGCAACCAAAATTGTGAATTATGCTGCAAGACACGATGAAAAGTGAAGATATCTGAGAACAATTACGAACAATAATTATGGTACAAAAAAATCCTACAGTATCAAAGGAAACAGAATGTGTAAAACGGAAGACATTAATTTTTACCATAACAAACTTATTACATAATCCAAGAGGAAAGCGAGATATTAGGCCTAATCTCTGACAAAGAAGGGAAAGAAATGGAAGTATATTACTTAATTGCTTACTACTAATTTTCAGTATTCATTACATTTTTTGTGAGCTATATTACTTTTGCCATATAAACGTTTCCATTACTGAACTGGAATATGACTAGATACAAGATTGTCAGTATTCATGTAAAAGCATGTATTGCTATTCTAG